GGATGAACAGCGCTTGTTGAAGGCGGCCCCCATGTGCACCGCATGGTTGGTCCACATACAAACACCCATTGTCCTCCTTGTAATAAGTGTTCCCGTCTTGACATAGGGATCCCTCTCCGACTAATCGATGGAAAATGCCTCGCAAGCACGGGTCGCGGTATTGTTCGCCCTCTAGATCGATGGTTGATAACCCATACACACAACTACAGAGATCCCGTTTGCCTCTAAATCTTACAGAGTGCCGCCTAGTTTTTTCACTCTTACAAAGGGTCATTAACGGGGGTAATAACATAGACAAGAAAAGAGAGGGCCACGTGGTGATAATTTTGATTATAAATCGAAAAATCGAAAAGGAAGTCAGACGTTAAAATTTAATATTTAAAATTAGCAACTCATATTTACAAAGTGCACTGGGACAGCTGTTTCTGCGAAACTGGCGCAAGGAGCTCTCCCGAAATCCGCCACGTCTTTCGAAAAAGAGTGGCTCATAATTGTATTTGCGTTAGCCTCGACTTCGCGTCGTTATTAGCCCCTCAACAAGGTGTGTTAATTACTTGACTTGCTCCCTTAAGCTATCATGACTGTCTTGAACGGCTTGCACACGCGCAACAGCTCGCGAAATGGCGCCGCCATTCTCTGTAGCGAACAAGCTTTCGACGTGAAGCGCTTTGTTGAAGACATTTTCGGAGGTTGTCGGACCGAACAACTTGACAAAAAAACGGAGTCTAGGTTACAAACGCTCAAAAAATTCGTCGAGATACCGCTCCTTAGAAATTGATTCCGGATATCTCGCGGTCATTATGCGGATAATTTCTCTAAGGGGCTCAGCAAAGCCCAATATACTCTCCTCTGTTTCTTGCTTGCAGTTGCATAGACGATTTTTGGCCGTGACTTGTGCATTCTTAGATTCAAGTTTTTCTCTGAGCTTTGTTACGGCGCCGTCAAAACTTGCTTGTTCGCTATCGCTAAGTTCATCGAAACAGTCTCTCGCAATCTCTTCTAAATAGTACTTGGGAACGTTAGCCTTCTGCGGCGAAGATAAGGGTTCTAGATTAACATCGCACATGTCGTTAAACTTTCTTAACCAGTTATGAAAGGATCCTTCTCCGGTACCTGAGAATGGCTGCAAGTGCGCTTCCCGTCTAACTGAGGGGAAAATCACATTCGCTCGCAGGGAGGACGATGCAGCGTGTTGCACCTTTCCCATCCTAGGACTTGCCTTGCCAGTAAGTTGTAATGCTGCATCTGCATTGAAGGTTTGATGTGCTTGTAACACTTCGAGCTCACTTAGCACAGAATTGAGTTATGCCTCAACGTTCCTCTCCAGTGCACTGAAATCCTGTGCCATCTTTTGCATATTAGGTATACTGGTCCGAAAGTCTTTGTTGGTTTGATGCTGGAAGTCCTGTAGCCGTTTGTACAACACTTTGTATTTCCCCGTTATGACTAAAGTTGTATTGTCTATCCCCTCGAGCTCCTGCACTAAGAATAATTTACTTCCTTCTGGTGACGACATTTCCAAAACGCAATCTCTGGCAGTCCTGTAAGCTGTATCGCGTCGGGGCACAGAAACAACAATGTAACCGTTTGTATTTGCGTGCAGTTACGTACACACTGCAAAGACTGGGCCAAAAAGCTGTTCGTTACGCGTTTTTTTGCAGCAATGCAATGCGAAAACGCATATTGACGAGAGGTTGTCTGTGTGTGTGTGTCTGTGTGTCCGTGTGTGCGTCTGCCACGGTTTTTCATCTCAAAACCTACAAAAGCTACGGGGCTGAAATTTTGGGGACTTAATCTACATG